TAGTTTATTGCAACAAATATTTTCAATTCAGTGAACTAATACAAATATTACAAATAAAAACTAAAAAGCTCAGATTAAATTCAGAGCTTCTTTAATACTACACTCTATCAGAAACTGTTCCAAGTCTTGTCCTTGAAGTGGTGTCTGTATAAACTAAATGAGCTGTCAGTTTTTGTAAAAGGGCTATAATTAAGAAGATATAGATTTCAGTGGTGCAGGGGGTAGGCATTCACCTTGCAACCGGGGTGTCACAATCCGTGCCTGAATACTTATTGTTGTTGCATTCTTGACCAAGACACTTARCCCAACCTCCACATGTATAAATCTGTTGGTGTAATTGTGGTTGCACAACTGCACACTTAGGTAGAAGCGAGCACAGCCAGCTAACAATTGTGACATCAGCAGACTGCTGCTCGTAGATTAGCTCTTGGATTGATTGACAGAGGAAAGGCATTACTTATGCAAACTTCCTCATGGAGAGAGATGCTTTTGTTTTGGAATCTGAGCGTGAGATGCAACGATAAGGTGAAATGGGTGATAAAAGCTTGTTGCCGATCTTGGGAAAGGGAGAACTTGCAAAGCTGTTGGAAAAAGTAGTGGACACTCAATTCAAACCTTTCCTGGAGGATCACAAAATTTTGGAGACATTTCAATCAGGCATCAGATCCCATAACAGCACTGATAATGCCCTGTTGAAGGTGTTTAATGGCATCTTCTTAGTCCTAGACTCTGGTGAATCGGTCCTCCTTGTGCTATTAGACCTCACATCAACCTTTGACACTATTGATCATAAAATCCTCATTACCAGGCTGGAGAAGGAGGTGGGTATCACAGGTTCAGCCCTCAGTTGGTTCAAGTCCTACCTTTCAGAAAGATATTTCTGTGTATTGACTTAATGTCCTCATCAGCACCAGTTCAATGGGKAGTACCACAGGGCTCTATTCTGGGACCGTTTCTTTTTGCCTTACGCCTACTGCCACTTGGTGCAGTCTTTCATAAACATGGCATACCATTTCATCTTTATGTGGATGACTGTCAAATTTACTTTCCTCTGAAACAGGCTGGCCCACACTGCATCCAACCTCTTCTTGACTGCCTGGCTGATATCAGGGATTGAATGGCTTTAAACATCCTAATCTTTAAAGAGAAGAAAACATAAGTCATTCTGTTTCCAACTAACAACACAAACAGTAACAATTGCATTGACCTTTCCACTCTGGCCCCGTTTCTCTGTGTTCATCAGCTCCTCAACATACCTGCCTGATCTCTCCATTCCACATAAACCMACTGTGGCAGGAAGAAGGCAGAGGCTGCACCTGCTGGCGGGGTGATTGCAAGTGGGCCAATAGYGCCAGAGGGCGCTCTGTATAAAAGCAGAGGTGAGCTGCGGACTGGGACGTTTTGTTTGTTGCTGTTGACACGTCGCGCACCGCGCTTCCGTGTTGAGCTGTCTGTGTGCCGAGTACAGCAGAAACAGACCGGCGTATTTACCTCCACGTTTGATCGTGGGTGGAGTGGTTCCTGTAAAGTGCCAACATTTGTGAAGCGATCCCATTTGGGTGCAAGTGTGGAGAGTTTGGCCTGATCGGTACGTGGAATAAGTGACAAATCTTATTTGTATTTTTTTATTTTAAACTGCTTTTGTAATTTAGGGATCTCAAACGATTGCCACACTTACGCTGCTGCTTTGCCCGGACTGAGTCACCGCTGAGTGGCCGAGAGCGAGAGAGAGACCAACGTACGAGATGCGCCTCGCACCCCCCCAGACCAGAACAAAGAGCGGCTGATCGCGCTCCGTTGCAGATTGGATTGGACTGGGTTGCTCATCTGGCCGTGCCTGTCGAGCACAAGGATTTTATGGTTTTATT